GAAATTGTTGCGACTAGTATACTGGTATCTCCTCTGCGGATTATTGGAATTAATCAGCTATAATCTTAAGTCGATGAATTAAGGAAGAAACTTAGAAGAATAGAAAGACAGCTTGAAAGAGTTGAAGAAGGTTTATATGCTGTACAATTAGCTACAAATTGCAACTCGACAACCCTTTAGTAGTTAATTGTTTCGTGCAAAAACGTAAATAATAGAAAAGGAGTGATTTATATATTTTTAGTAATTCTTCTTGGCCACTGAGAATTTTTTATCATTCACAGCAACTGATTTGCTGTTATCTCTAAGTTAGTTTACATATGGAAAGATTTATTGGCCACCATTCGTGAGTCCAGCTGTAATATTTTTTAAGGTTAGTAAGAAAATTCATGAAGGAAAAAATTTAATGAAAAGATTAGTTGAAAAATCAGGAAACCTAATTTGATTCTTCGTAGCTTACTATAAACGCTTCCATGCCTTCTTGCAATTGATTCACTGGATAAAGTATGATGAGAAGGGATTAATCTTGTTTCCTTGTTTGGCTAACCGGTTGAAAAGCTCGGGTTTTGATAGTATGCCTCCCCAAAAATGTCAAAGATTTAACCGATTGATTAGAGATTATGCTCCTTTTACTCTCATTAATTTGTTAAAACAAATTATTCTTTATTTCGTTTGCTGTAGATTATGTTAACTTGAGGTTTTCTATATTTACGTCAACAGGCAAGTCAACGGTAGCTAGAATTCTCGGTAAACTGTTTTACTTGGCTGGAGTTTTATCTTCTTACACTGTGACTGAAATGCAAGGGAATCGAAAGGTTAATTAACTCCTATCTAACTATCGATGAAGTTTTATTTCAATAAACCACACTTTATAATAGAGAAAATTTATCGACATTTTTTTCAGATAAAAGATGCAGAAGGGGGTGTGCTCCTCGTAAACATAGACGATGAAGAGCCTGTCAACTCGAAAACAATAGAGGAAATCATAGATGTAATGGATAAACGCGAATCTTCAGTTATACTTGCTGGAAGTTACAAGGGTTTAAATCAATACATAAAGTTCAACCACGAGCTGTACGGAAGATTCTCAGCAAGATTACAATTTGACGACTTGAACTGCGAAGACCTCGCTATTATTCTTCAGAACAAGGCAAGTCATAAAGGGGATCACGATTTGTTGTGCGGCTTTGATTTGGATGCTTCGTTCGGAACCGTCGATATCGCACGGATGATTGCCCATTATACCCCTGCAAATCTACGGTCCATGATGAATGCACATGTTCTCGATCAAATGCTGATCGAGGCGAAGAAAGTGGCAAGCGACAGGCCAGGTGAAAAGACAATTTCTTTGAGTGACTTGAGATTAGGTATACAGAATGGGGCACAAATCTATACTAAGTTACTGAACTTATAATATATATATATATATATATATATATTATTTCTAATCTGGAAATTGGTTATGGAAATCCATTGTTGTTAAATCCATACAGTTTTATTCAATGATTCATGGTGAGTTTTCATTGGATGTAGATTGATAACTTAGGACGGTTATGGTTTGTTTTTATGCTTGCTACACTCGATATTGTTATCGGGTTATATATATATATATATATATATTCTATTCGTGTATACATATATATTATATTAACATGTATATAGTAATTGTTTGTAAATTAGTCGATGTATTTCACCGGGTGTAGGTTGAGAGAATATTAAATCGTGAACATATATTATTTCGAATCTAACTCTTTATTATACTGTGTAAAGTGTAACGAATGTTGCAATGATTCTACCAAATTCGAGAGCACGTGCTTCTGGCGGGAGGCACGTGACGGGGACTATTTATACGTTGTTTTTGTCCCAAACGCAAATTTCTCCTACCCACTACATACGCGTACAAAAGGAAGCTTTTCTAGAAAAATAAATATAGATACATAAATATATGGCTTAATCCCACTTTCAGTCCTTGAAATGAATTTTTTTGGCACTTTGCACTCTTAAAAAACAATAATAGTACTTTGCACCTCAAAACACAATAAATCAGTCACAATACACCCTTAATTGAATAACAAATGATAATTCATTTTTCATTTTTTATTGATTCTTTTTCCTCGCGTGCAAATTAACAAATTAAATTGTTATTTTCTTCCACCTCCAACCTAATTTCGAGCGCACAAAGTGCGGAAAAATAAAAATCACACCAGATATCGAAAAAAAAAATACATTTTCTTACAAAATAAGATCAAATAAACCTTTATCACTAAATTATTTGATTGATAGATCTTTTATTGTAATTAGTGAAAATATTAGGTAGAAATATCTGAAAGAAAATATGATTTCCAGATAACTTAATAACGAAATATCTAAAAGATTTTTTTGTTTTTCGTAAAATATTTTTTCTGGATACAAAATATAATTTTTAACTACCACTAAAAATATTAAATTATCTTTATTAAGCTTTAAAAACTCATGTGCATTGCATTATGCATGATGTATTGTTTTCGAGGGTGCAAAGTGCTATTAGTTTGTTTCGAGTGTAACTGGTATATTTTAAGGGGTGCAAAGTAGGATTAAGCCATAAATATATTATATTTTTTTTCTCAAAAAAGGCATGCCATGAAACGACGTCATCTCACTCTCCTTGGACCTGTCACTCTGGCTACCCAGCTCACAGCCGTGAAAAGTTCCTACACGACGCCGTTTCCGCCCACTTACCATACTCATCATACTGTAAAGCTTCCCCTCTTAAGAAATAATCCTGCCAAAAATTAATTGAAAAAAAAAAAAAATCAGCGAAAAAAGAGGAAGAGCACACGCGCTGCGTTTGGTTGCTTGCTGGAAAAATCTGAACTCCGGCAATGGCCTCTTCCTCTCCGCCGCCGGGGCCTGCGCCGGGTCCGACATCACCGCCGTCTCCGTTCGGCCCTCCGGCGCCGGTGGTTCTTCTGCTGCCGCCTCCTCCTCCTCCTCCCCCGGAGAATGTCACTTCCCCGGCGGCGGTGGCCACTCCTCCGTCGGGATCGAGCAACAGGACTACATTGGTGGCGCTGGGAGTGGGGATAGGTATAGGCGGGGCGGTTGTGCTGGTTTGCGTGGGTATTTTCGTCTTTTGGTACAGGAGGAAGAAGATGAGCGCTCTTTTGGGCGATGGATTTGCTTCTGCTCCTCATCAATCACAGGGACCCAAAGGTTAACAAATAAACTTCATAGACGCAAATTTCTGAGATTTTTGTTTTGTGGTGTTATATTATATCTTAATTGATTCTTCTTAATACAGACAAAAAATAAATTAATAATTTAGAATCATCAGGTTAGGTTTTCATGTAGTTATTTCACCCACCCTTCAAACCACTGTAAATATGAATTTTGACAAGGGTAAAAAAATTGCTCAAAAAGTAACAAGTAGACCACAATCTTGTTTTCACTTCTGTTCAAGATATCGGTTTATTCGGTAATATCGATCGTTTTATTCTGTTCGTAGTACATTCAGTTCGATTCAACTCAACACGTTTTCTTTTGTAGACGGCCCTTTTCGTGGCCAACTGTACAACCCTCAAGTTGGGCCGCCGAAGCCCACTCTTCCGTTCGGCATTTCATCGAATTCTCAGTCGTCTTCAATGGGTGGATCGACTCCAACACTGCCTTACTTCGATAATGGCGCAAAGCTCGTTTCACAAGAATCCCATGATTCGAGTTTGCCTTCCACAGAAACAACATTCACATATGAAGAACTTGCGCTTGCAACCGAAAATTTCTCGGGAACTAACCTTCTTGGTCAGGGTGGATTTGGATATGTTCATAAGGGATTTCTTCGTGATGGAAAAGAGGTTGCGATTAAGCAGTTGAAAGTTGGGAGTGGTCAAGGGGAGCGTGAGTTTCAAGCGGAGGTGAAAACTATAAGCCGTGTTCATCACAAGCATTTAGTTTCGCTTGTCGGGCACTGCATTTCGGGGACTCAGAGACTGTTGGTTTATGAATATGTTCCAAACGGTACTTTGGAGTTTCACTTGCATGGTAATGCCTTGACTTTATTACATCCTTTGCACTTGTCAGATAGTTGTCAGAATATGATGTTTTTTTAGCTAGTGTATAGCTGTAAATGCATGTTTGAGGTTGTTTAATGGGGATCTTACGAAATTCTTAACCTCGTAAAAGAAAAAAAAAATATTGTATTCTGCAGTTTATGTTCGAGCAATAATTATGTATTTAGGGATGGTGTAATTTGTCATTTTAGTGTAATATATGTTCAAGTTCTTATTCGAGAGGCAAAAAATGCAGCAAAGGAGAAATCTCCGATAAACTGGAGTACTCGGATGAAAATCGCGTTGGGTTCTGCGAAAGGATTGGTATATTTGCACGAGGATTGTGAGTCTCGTCACCCTGCTCGTTCTTATGAAATTTCAATGTTGTTTTTCTATAAAAATATCAGTTGTATTTAAATTCGATGATTTATGCAGGTCATCCTAAGATCATACACCGTGATATCAAGTCTGCTAACATTCTTCTCGATGAAAATTTCGAGGCAAAGGTGTGTGTCTTTGTTTCTTTGCACAGCTGTATAATGTCAAGTTATTACATCAGCAAGTTGCTAAGATGAATCTCATGTTTAATATCCGCAAATTTTACCCTCGTTTGATTCATATGTCGTATTTTTTTTATTGTTATTTATTATCCTCGAATAATTTGAAACCAGGTTGCAGATTTTGGGCTTGCTAGGTTCTACTCGGAAACCGATACTCATGTCTCTACTCGAGTAATGGGAACTTTCGGGTAAGCTACTCGAGTTTCTCTTTCTGCTTATGCTGCAAAACTTTGAATTCCCGACTTAATTTATAAACATAAGAGCTCATTTCTCCATAATTGCACTGATAAAAACTGACCTAATTATTTCACTAATCATGGCTTATCTTATCTTACCAGCCAAACGAGGCTATTATCTCACATTGTCCTATACACATGCATGCCTTAATATTTTTGCATGATTTACAGTTATTTAGCTCCAGAATATGCTCTCACCGGAAAACTGACGGATAAATCGGATGTCTTCTCATTTGGCGTTGTGCTTTTGGAGTTAATCACAGGCCGCCGCCCGATCGATAAATCACAAAACTACCTTGACGATAATATCATAGACTGGGTGAGATCTCATTTCTTCAATCGAAGATCTACGCAAAAAAACTTGCATATATTTTTTTTTTACTAAATCTAAAATTAGGACGCATTAAATTAACATTACTATTTTTTATTTTTATTTTTATTTACAGGCGAGGCCTTTGCTAACACAAGCTCTTGAAAGTGACAACTTCGATGGTGTGGCTGATCCGAGGCTGCTCAAGGATTACGACTCCATCGAGATGGCTCGCATGGTTGCATGTGCTTCTGTTTGCGTGCGTCATTTGGCTCGACGCAGACCACCTATGAGTCAGGTAATATACAATATATATTATAAGACCCCGTTTGTTAGGAAACGAAGGATGTGATTAGGGGTGGAAAATTTCCAAAATTTTTCAGAAGTAAAAAACTAATTCCAATTCCGTTCCAAAAAAAATTTCTTCAGAAGTTTCAGATATTAAATTCGGATCAGAAATCGGAATCTAAATATGTTCCATTTCAATAATTAAAAAAAAATCGGGATCGGAAATTTCGAAATTCGAAACGAAAAACATTGTTCCAAAATCGGAATCTCCGTTCCAATTTCTTTTAGATGTGGTGACTATACAATGCCAATGTTTTCACCTCGCAGATAATACGAGCATTAGAAGGAAACTTAAACCTGGAAGAGTTGAACGAGGGTCTAAAACCAGGGCACAGCAGAAAATACGATTCTTCTCACGGGAGCTCGGATTTTGATATATCTTACGACACAACACAGTACAGAGAAGATCTGATAAAGTTCCGGAAGATGGCTTTAGAAAGTGTCGAACACACCACAAGTGAGTTTAGTGGCCCCACTAGTGACTTTGGTCGTAGGCCCTCCGGTTCTAGTAGCGAAGTTCTACACATGAATCAAGACCCTCTGTAGTTTTTTTTTTTGGGTGGGGGGGCAAAAATATAACTATGTTATTAAATATTAATTAAATGAGAATATATTATATTATTATATATTATTTATATATATATATTTGTTTGTTAATTGTTATGTACATTAGTTTGTTAAATCGTTGTGCTGCTGTTTTTACAAGTTGCGGTCTGAACAGTGTTTGTTGTTCATCGTGTTTGAGTTGTCCAGATTAATGCTATTTTTATTTTATGTAATATATATTATATATACGTATGTATTGTTTTGATTGGTTCAATTGCAGGGGTTGGGAATTGGTGAAAATAGTAGGGGTGTTTTAGGAAAGAAAGTGGTCGGCGTGAATGATGACGTGGCGGGTGATGAAGATGAACCAATTTTAGCGGAAGATCACGTGACTAATTCTATTTTGGGAATGTCATGCCACTTTTGCTAAAATTCTTTCTTAAATGTTAAATGTCATTTCAATTTTATGAATACTAACTTCGAACGTGATTTTATAGACTTTGTACTCTGATTCTAGCAATATTCAGAACACGAAAATTGTAGTGTTTTGAATTGGATTTTTAATGCAACTTGAATCAGCTGTATTTGATATTGGATGACAAAATTATGCATAAGTGAGTTACATCTTGAATTTTAGATAACTCAAATATCAATGTTATGGATAATATTCGTTGATTAGTGCATATATTTCTCAATCTTGGTGATTCATGTTGTATCAGAAAACTAACTTAAAAAACTATTAAATTTGTGTAATGACGATTTCTCAAATTACACCTTAAAAATAGTTAAAATTACTTTCAAAGTTAAAACAATATCATTAACGCTGAAAACAATATTCATCGCGTCCCGCCTTGATTTACGTTCCAAAACTATATAAATCACGAGAAAAAGACCATCATTACTCATAAATTACATAATTAAATAACAAACGAAAAAAAAAAACTATGATCAAATTGCATTTCTTAGAGGAATTTGATGTTTTTGATTTTGAATTAATTGATTACTTATTTATTGGTGAATAGATGAAAGTCAAACTAAGATCCAATCTGAATTTTTGGTAGATAATAAATATTTAATTGATGCTGACATTTATATATTGTCACTTGATGATGTGAACACTAATGATTAATTTTTTTTATTGGTCCTAGTAGACTGGTAGATACCTACCTATCAGTCACCAATCCGACGAGTAAATCAAAACACAAATTATTATTATTATTATTATTATTATTATTATTATTATTAATTATTATTATTATTATTATTATTATTATTATTATTATTATTATTATTATTATTATTATTATTATTATTATTATTATTATTATTATTATTATTATTATTGTTATTATTATATTCGACACGTTATAGTTGCTCTTCACAAAGTTCCAAATCAATCTCTCTCTCTCTCTCTCTCTCTCTCTCCTGTTTGAGTTAGTGAACCGTACATGGGTCATGTGGCAAGTAGACTTGTAACAAAAGTGAATCAAATCTCTTAATGAATTAATCAAAATCATAATTATTGCATTAATTAGCTATATAATATTCAATAATTTAATTATAAAAATGGAGTTGGTATATACTTATGTATATTAAAATAATTAACAAATGCCCTATACAGTGGTCATGCAGTGTTGTGGAGTTTTAGCAGCCCTAGTTGGCCGGTTGCCCTCGTCATAATATATATTTTCATAAATATTAAATTAAATTATTTTTGAGCTCTAACATCCTTGTCAATAATCTTCTAGTATGTTCATCTGCTGTTGTCAAATTTAATGAAATCTTTTATAAGATGGAATCCACATTTTGCAACAAAATGATCATAAAATGTGTTTCTTGACTTGTGAATATCAGATTGTGGTGCATCAAAAACTGCATTTTTGCACAAAACGAGTACGAACTAGAGAACATTTCACGGGATCTAGAAGATTATGTTGATTTTGACACTATAAGGATGAACGTGTGTGAAAAGATTCTTGATCATGGGAGATGATTGTAATTACCAAAACATGAGGGGTTTTTTCGTAATTTAACCTTACTTCACCGTATTTTAATGTTTCTTGTCATCTTTATTACCAAGTCTTGCCTTGTGCATGTTTTTTAAACAATTGTGCAATTGTTTAAGTTTTATTTATTTCAAATCAAATCAAAAAAAAAGAAATGGTTTAGTTTAAATTAAGAAGGCTACTTTGGGTATTAGTTTTTGGTGAGAATTGAATGCTAATAAATGAGGCTATAACCCACAGCTTCAAGAAAACGAAGGAGCTCCACACCACACACAGTGTGAAAATTCTTTGTTTATCAATGGTGGATGAGTCAGATTAAGAGAGTTGCAGACCAAAACAAAAAATAAAAAAAATACAGTAGAAAGCGAGTTAAACAGACAACAGAGGGCAAAAAAAACGTGGGAGCCTCCATTTGCATGACTCAGCAAGATCATTAATTCTTCTTCATATTCATGCTGTTGTCCTTTTTGAGGTTGTCGAATGAATAATCTCTCTAGCTCCTGACCCCCACCACCTGTTTGTTTTAATTCCCCAACCAAAAATCTCCTTACAAAGTTGTCCCCTCCCTCACCTTGGTCAACATCGAAATTGTTCTGGGTGCTGATTCCTTCTTGGATTTTATTTTTGTTGCATTTTTTTTTTTGAATTTAGCATATGTTTATTTGAAGAAGGTGTTCTTGATTTTTTCTACAAGGGGTTTGAGGAATTTTGATGGCTGAAGTTGGGGCAGAATGTAGGAAGGGTTTCAGAGGAAGAAAGGCTTTGATTTTGACTTTTGTGATTCTTTTATCATGTGTTGTTGCTGTTTCGTCTCAAGAGAATTTGGAGCAAGTCATTTCAAGAACAAATGTGGCCGTTGACCGAAATTCCGAGCCAAATTACTTCACCAGAATAATCACTTTCTTGAGGGGGATATCTCTCCCACATGTCTGGCCTGTGAGTTCAAATTTTTCGTATGATCAATTGCGCGTAGTCGAATAATTTCTGGTTCGATTTTGTTAACGTAATGGACTTATATTATGTTTTGAAGCTTTGCAGGATATGGAATTCGGTTGGAGAATTGTTGCTGGTACAGTCATCGGATTCTTCGGTGCTGCTCTTGGAAGTGTAGGAGGTGTTGGTGGTGGGGGCATTTTCGTCCCTATGCTTACTTTGATTATCGGCTTCGATCCAAAATCTTCTACTGCAATATCTAAATGTAAGACTCGTGAGATGACTTTTTTCCGTGTTTCTTTAGATTCTTATTAGATTCTTCGATAATTTTGTGGCGAACATGTCTAGAAATCGATGATTGAACGAATTATATCCCTTATTTTTTTTGTGTGGATTAGGTATGATAACTGGTGCAGCAGTAGCTACGGTTTATTACAATTTGAAGCTGCGTCATCCTACACGTGATCTCCCGATTATCGATTATGATTTGGCTCTTCTTTTCCAACCGATGCTAGTGCTCGGAATTAGCATCGGAGTTTTTTTCAATGTGATCTTTGCGGAATGGATGGTTACTGTCTTGCTGATTATTCTTTTCATAGGTAATAATATTTGCCTACATTTTGCAGCTTTTTATTAGGTGCTTTTAATTTAATTTTTTTATTTTACTTTTATGAAGTTACTTCGACGAAGGCATTCCTCAAGGGTATCGAGACCTGGAAGAAAGAAACCATAATAAAAAAGGTTGTCTGAGATTTTTTACTTGATATCATCTTTTTCAAGATGAAATTTCTCGACTGATCATTGTTTTCTCTCTCTGGTTTCTAATTACAGGAGGCTGCTAGGCGTTCGTTATCCGATTGTGAGTATATATGCTTCTTGTAATTTTTTATGTTTCCGAAAATTCCATTTCTTTTAGTAGATATTTTTTTTAATTGATTTGAGCATCAGCTAATGCAAACGAAGACGCTTCATACAAGCCTCTACTCAGTGGCCCAACTAATGAAACTAGAATGCAACTCAATGAACACAAAGCATCAAAGGTAATGATGTAATGTAATAATAATTAAAAAAAAAAAAAGTAGTTTATGAGGTTGTCGTAACAAGTCTTAATCACAGGTCTCGATTATCGACAATGTCCACTGGAAGAAATTCAGCATTCTCGTTGTTGTATGGCTGATCATTTGCTTACTCCATATCACAAAGGTTCGTTCAATTTCCATCTATTTTTCACTTTTTCGATTTTTTTAATTAAAAATTAAGAAAATAAAGCCCTCTATCTTTTATTGCAGGACTATACAACCACTTGTTCAGCAGCATACTGGATACTTACCTTATTGCAGGTAACATTAAAACAACAACAACAATACATAACCTTATTAAATATTTTCTCCAATGATCTAAACATATCCTTATTTTTTCTCGTTGTTCTTAGATACCTGTTGCCGTTGGAGCTTCTGGATATCAGGCAGTATGTTTATATAAGGGTTGGAAGGTGATAGAAGCCACTGGAGAATCAGGGGTAAGATGGACAATTCCTCAGTTGATTCTTTGTTGTTGCTGCGGAATTTTAGCCGGTATAGTAGGTGGTTTGCTAGGCCTTGGCGGAGGTTTCATTTTAGGCCCGTTATTTCTCGAGCTCGGAATTCCACCCCAGGTGCATTTCTGTCTTTTCACCTCGATAATGCTTATAATACGATGATTTAATTTTAAACCGTATATTGTCATTGTGAACAAAAATATTATCCCCTTGGCCCTTGTTTGGTTGAGTAGTTAGTCCATTTTTTTTGCCAACTATACATATGATTGGATACTAAAAAGATTGCTGATATCTTATCTTTGCATACTATCGTGAAAACCAAACGAGGCCTTAGTAGAATAGCCCTGGAAACATCTGTTTCCGGAACTTTCTTGATATTGCCATTTCAAAAGTACAAACTCATTTAAGACAATTAATTAATTTCAAGTACTTGTAATAACAGGTCTCGAGTGCTACAGCAACGTTAGTCATGATGTTTTCCTCATCAATGTCCGTAATACAATATTACCTTTTACACCGTTTCCCTCCATCATACGGTACATTCTTCTTCTTTTTTTTTTTTTTTTTTTTTTTTTTTTTTATCTATAAAAAAGTATCATATGTTAAACAAAAAAATGCTCTCTCTTGCAGCTCTTTATTTCGTTATAGTGGCTACTTTTGCTGCATTGGTCGGGCAACACGTAGTGAGGAAGATGGTAAGTATACTGAGGAGGGCTTCGTTGATCATCTTTATATTGGCCTTCACGATCTTCGTCAGCGCAATTTCTCTAGGTAACTAACTAACTATATTCGTACAACATTTGACTTCCAATTTTTTTTATTTTTTTTGGATTAGGAAATATTTATTGGTCTTTTTTGGGACAGGTTGGGTTGGCATATCAAACATAATCGGAGAAGTAGAGGGACAAGAGTACATGTGGTTTTACGACATTTGTAAATACGGGCACGAGTAACTTACTATAGTTTTTTTGTTTTAGGTACAAAGGGAAAAAAAATCGAATTGATTTCCTAATGTTTCCTTGTTAGTTCAACTTTGTACTTTCTCGGATGTAAACTCGTGTGTTTATCGAAGAGATTGTATTTCATTGTGAATGCTTTCGTTATCTAATGAAGAACATTTCCTACCAGAGAGATCAATCGAATGGTTTATTTTATGCTGTGTTAGGCAAAGTTAATTGATAAAAAAAAAAAATCGTAAACATGTTATGTATGACTGTGTGTGATTGTTCGTGTATATATGCGTGTGATTGTGTAAATTTATGCTGACATGTCAAAAACGAAAATTTTGAACCTCAGATTTTGCACTTTGTTTTCTAATTCAAGAAAATCGAGACATTAGTATTACTTCGTTAATTCACTACAATTTGTAAAAAGAAAATTTAATTTGTTCAACTTCTGGACAACAAGAATCTTCCAAAGATAAGGGTGTGTTACAAGGGAATATTTTTTTCCCGAACACGGCAGTAATTTCTCTACAGGTACACGATCTATTTATACACGTATTTAAGTTGTTTCTCGAAGTATAAGTTCATAAAATCATGTCCATATAAGTTAAGTGTCTACTAATCATACTGCTTTTTGCTCGTACGACTCTCGAATTAAATCAACTTCGATGAAAGATTACAGCTCATCTTTGGCCAAAGGTTCCTTGGTTTTCAAATTCTTGTTGATTATTGCTGCCAATTCCTTCAAGCTCGATTTAGTAGGTAACTTTATCTGCATATGGGATGTCTATTATTACGACAAAAAAAAAAAAAAAAAAAAGGGATCGAAGATGGAAAATTGAATAATACAGTTTACTATCTAATCGAGTAATTACCGGATTTGACTTGTCGCCAGCAGGGTAGAATAGTAACGCTGGGTACTCCTCAACCTGCAAATGACGAGCGTCTTTTATTTATTTATCTATTATTATTTTTTATTTCTATATTTGCAATAATCGTATTTGTTACCTGCAATTGTGGATGTTCGTTAGTTGAAGCATCAATTCTTGCAAAGATGAGGTTTTCCAAGCCCTCGAAATGCTTAGCCAATTTTTGCATTTGTTTGCTTGTTGTTTCACAGGTGATGCACCATGGTGTGTGAACCTAAGGCATAGAATAAAATCAAGAATTCGACTATGTAAGAAATACGAGAAATTTCTAGATCACTCCACATGATCTTGAAAGTAGTGAATAATGTTGAACAAACCTCTAAAAGAATATTTGTGGGGCTGCTTAGGACCAAGTCATCGAATGTCTTCCCTACAACTGTGAGAATGCTAGCATTTTTCTGCAATTTGTGATGTTTGAAATATTTTCCAAGATTAAAAAATATTCGAATTAATGACATTCTGCGAATACATATCTCAAGTTAAGTTGGTAGAATCATCGTTCTAAGTTGCATTTAAATAGAAACTCACATTATCGGGAATTGGTTGTGATTTGTAGTATGGGGTCAGAGTTCCGTGCAGAAGCTGCGAACAGAAATCCTGCAACGAAAATATATAAAAGAATGATTGGACGAGAAAAAAATAAAAATTATAGTGCAAAATAAAGACGAGATGGATCAAATTGTTTTACTTCGATGTTTCTTGATGTGGGATCCGACTCCAACAGATACTTGGAATTGCTATTGTAGTCAAAAGCAATAATCTGTAGACCAAACAAACAGACAAAAAAAAAAAAGTTAACGAGTTTAAATAAAAAAAAGGATACGGGAAATGTAGGAAAATATGACAGTTCTTACAGCAGTTTCTTCGGAATCTTCTAGACCAAATAAAGTCAAGTAGGGCTTTGCAAGGTTTTCCTCTCCAATGTCTACAGCTACAATCATCACCTGCAAAAATAGAAAGATTTTTAGAGATAAAAGATGGAAAAAGAAAAACGAGAGATTACACACAGCATACCTTTGACTTGAATTTCTTGGCGATTTCTTGTAAAATTCCAACAAGCTTCTTTAAGTCATCAGTCTCAGCAAAGACATATACCTAATTGATATCAAAGGGAGGTTACAAAGATGCATTCTTTATTGAAACCCGCAAAAAAAAAAAAAAAAAAAAAAAAAAGGAAAAAAAGAGTCGAACTCATTCAATTTTCTACAGTGCATCGATTATTATTTCTCCCAGGATTAATTGTTAATGTGTTTCTTAGATTCCTTTTCTGATTCTATTGAGAGTATTTTTAATTTTTAAGAGATGTGAGCTAATTAAATTTTATATAATTAAGAGATGTGAAATGACGACTGTAACTTGACGGAAGACCAACCTGCAGTTTATTTAGGCTGGAGTATACTTTAGCAGAGTTAAGCTCAGTCATTAAAGTAACTAACGGGAACTTGTTATTCTCCAAAAATCTCAAGATTCCGTCTGAACTCAAGTTTCCATCTGTAAGCCAAACAATAGTGAACCTCAATAATTTATATTCTCGTGGAGTAATTACACGATACGAAATTACTTGTTAGAATTGCAACTCTTGTTACTTATGTCCCTATAATGGATTTAAACTTTATGAACTTACCTAAAGAAGTGTGATGCTCCGGTTCGCTTTTAACGAGACCAAAGAAAGGTTTAGTTGGTTTTGCCACGGGGTATAAAATGTCGGCTACCTCTGCGCTGGTTGTTTCCACAAATTGGATTTCATTGTCAGCTGCCGCAGCTTTTACGAACTCTGTATAATCAGGTCCCTATAAAGTATTTTATCCATAATTCAGTTTATCACATTAAAGATAAATCATCAACCGAATCAAATCCAAGCAACACTTGTGCAGATTCGCAGTAGCGAGAGGATATAATCAAGAAATTGAAGAGATTATAAAAATTAAACAAGAATACTTCGAGATTCTATAGAACAACTCAAATATGACTCTGAAGTGTTGTGTGAAGAGGCAAAATAAATAATTTTTATTCACATAATATTTACTTACATAGTTACATACCTCAAATTTATCGAATAGCCCAACTGCATACGTGGCATGCTGCTTCAGGAATTCATTTGCCTCGGTTATCGAGTTTATTCTAATAACGGGTACCCCTGTTTTCTTCCTCGCCCATAACACCATTTCTTCCCTTTTTTTTCACAAAACATAACCAAGAAAGACAAACACAGTGCGTTAATGTATGTTTATAGCAACCTTTACCACCAATGCAAATACAAGGACATGTCAAATTCTGTTAGCTACAAAGAATTTGTCGGGTTAAATTTAGTTCCAGAAAGAAATATATCTCCTCGCAAACAAGAATTTGTCGGGATCATAATTCATTACTTTTCTGAATTAAAAAATGCAACAATTCAGAACTCCAAGTTCAACTGCATCAATTCCTCCAATTGACATTTAATAACTACACTTCTTCTTATGCTCCATTGATACGATCTCAAGGTAATAAAACCAATATTTTCCTACGAAAACGTAACTATCAATCTTACCTATACTAAACAACTACGAATTGTAACGCCCACAAACTAAACCTAACAAAATATACATACTACCTCCGTTTCATATTGAGAGTCACTTCCGCCACATTGTTTCCTATACTAAGTGTCACTTTAGAATTTCACGGTCGGATTTTCATTTTATTTTTTTGTCCAAGTTTACCCTAAACATTAAAGAACTGTTTAACTTTCTCAAATGCTGTTCAACAACCTTAAACGACACTTAATACGAAACGGAGCTAGTACAAGGCACGAAAGAAAAAAACGCTTACGACGAAAATCCACCGGTGTAAGGCTGAGAAGTGCCATTGACAAACAACAAGAGAGTAGGAAACCCTTTAATCCCAAGAAACGAAGCAGCTTTCGGGTACCTCTCAGCATCAATCTTAGCCATCAAAATTCCAATCCCCAAACTACCCTTCAACACATTTGCAGCATCTGCAAACTCAGGCATCAACTCAGCACTTCTACTGCACCATGGGGCGTAGCCCAACACCATAACATACTCATTCTCCTCAATTACCCTCTTCGTCGAATCACCGTTCAGCTCGATAACCACCCTCTGCGCCTTGCTCAAAACCTCGGCCTCGGATTTCTTCCCGAAATCTCTGCTTTCGTAATGCGGCGAGTTTCCTCCGCTTTCTTGCTCGTCGTCTATTGCTATGAGTTCCTGCAAATCGTCGGCATACTCGTCTTCTTCTTCTGATAGTGCTGTGGTGAAAGTGAAGGGAGATACGACGAGGAGGAGGAGGAGAACTAATGGGAAAATGAGAGATCTTGAAGTGATTTTGGATTCGAACATGGTGATTGTGACTGTAGATGCAAGAATTTTAGATTAATTGGAGAGTTTGTGGAGGAAGTGATCGGAAGTTTGCCCACGATCTGTTTGTTAAATTGCTTGAATGAGATTTTGGTGGTGTGAGTAAATGTAAATGTGGCAACGTGCAAAAGTAAAAGGGTTTAAGAAAACAAAAGAAGACGAGATTTTGCGGCTGTAAGTCGTAACTAGCTGCACAAATCACGGCGCTGGCACATTAGTACAACGGTGCAATAATTAGTGAAACACGTGGGTTTTCCACAAAAGTGTTTTTAACTCTCTTAGTTACAAACTAAATTTTAGTTATGACTTAGAGGGTGTTTGGCTAAGCTTATAAGATGTTAAAAGGAGCTTATAAGATGTTTTAGAGCTTATAAGCTCTTCCAAAGTGTTTGGTAAATTTTTAAGAAAAGATCTTTATTTTTTTTAAAATAAGTTGTTGGAGACCAAATAAGATCTTTTTAAATAAGTACCTCTACCCCACCTTTTTATTTAAGATCTTATAATGAGTAAAAATAATAAATAAGCTCATTATCCAAACACTCTAAAAATTAATCCTAAAAATAAGATGTCACAGCTTATCAGCTCTAAAAACATCTTATCAGACGTAAGAGCTTATCAGTTGTTTAAAAAAAGTTTAGCCAAACACCCTCTTAGTTGGTGTTTGCAAATGCTTTTTGAAAGTGATTATGTGGTTTTTTTTGCTCATAAAGTAGTAATATGGCTGTATACTGGCGATCTCTTATATTTGGATATATATAAATATGTTATATTGAGATATAGATAGTTATGTATATGGACACCTACGAGCATATACACAGAGAGAGCGGTGTATATGTGATATATTTATATATTTTTTTTTTTTTGTTTACGGGGGG